GATTCAACTATACAACTTTTACATTGAGCATGTGTTTGTCCAAGCAATAGCTGTTTTGTTCATATGTCATTCATGTTTTTCATGTTGTTCTCTGATCCAAACATATTCTCTCTCAATTGCATCCAGATTAAGATTCTGTAAAATATTGATAAGAAATAAAAATAAAAAAATAGATACCATATTGATTTTTTCTCACCCACACCCGCTCTAGAGACCACATCACCCCTGTCCTCCAAGTTTATTTTAGCTTTATATATATATTGTATATACTGTATACATATAATATATACTGTATATATATAATTTTTGTTTTTATTTTATCTGTTTGATTGAAATAGACATATCTGTGCGATTCAATGGTTGTGCAAAGTCCTCTGAGATAAACACTGTTGTGATTTAGGACTATACAACAATACATTTAATTGAATTGAATATGAATAAACTTGCTTTGCTTACCTATTTGGACTATGCATTGTCTCCCCGTGTATGCATGTGTTTCCTTTGGGTGCTTCGGTGTTCCCCACCACTAAAAACATAAAAAACCACAATCTGGACTACCGGACAAGAATCATTTTACCTATGGTGCATGTTTTGGATGCTGGGGAAACTGAAGGGAACCCACCGAGACACAGGCTAAAACATAGACATACAGTACATAAATAATACAGCTACACTATTCCAAATGCCAATTATCTCAACTGTGATTAACCATATTTAATTTGTCAGTTATAATACATTGACGTAGGAATCCCTGTTGTGCTTCCACCATTACCACCATCATGTGGATGATGTGGATGCAAATGAGGGCCAACTTGCTTTGTACTTGTGTGTGTCTCATAACACAAAACCTGTCACAGAACTCGGGCCGAGGGAGGAAAACGACAGTGATATGCAAGATTTGCTCGGAAATAGCCAAATTGAAAATCCAAAGAAAAACACGCCACACCATTCTATTTACAGCCCAATCAAATCCAATGCATTTGAATATGTTTTGGAAGCATGGGGCGCACTTGACTCGCGTGACAAGTGATAGGCCTTTATTGGGGGCTATTTCAGGTGTCAGAGCAGATAATTCGAGCACACCTTCAAAAATCAGAAAACATATTTAAATACACGGCGCCCGCTAGCCAAGCGTGGGGCAATCAGCGTCTCAAAGCCAGCTAGATTGCAAGGAAAACGACGAAGAGGCTGAGACGATGTGGAGATGCAGAAGAGGGCGATGAATGAAAGATGTCTGTCAATGTGCTAAACCATTTCCTTCATGCTTTAGTGTCTGCAGTGGTTTTCTTTTGGATCTGAAATTCTAATCTTCCTCCAGAAATAGGCCTACTTCTTCATGTAAACATGAAAAACACATGTCATGTGGAAATGAATAATTGTCAAGTCCACATGTTTGTTTTGGATCATAGCTTGTCTATTCAGTCAATACTAGCCTGGCCATATCCATCCGTACACTCCGCTCAATCATCATTTCACTGCATGTAACGTCTGGGTCTGGTCCCTGTGTTAGCGAATACAATCGGTCGTATTTCAACCGGCTACTCAGAGAGCGCGGAAGGCGGGTGGTGTAGGTCGGTGGCGGTGACGTCAAGAGTTTGCGCCGCATTAGCTGGTTGTAGGTTGGCAATGGCGGCGAATGCGATGGTAAAGGAAGCTCTTCAATCCGTTTTGTCTCGTATCCCAAAGATCAAGATATTGAAGCAGGAGCAAGAGGAATGTTTAGCAAATGTAATCACTGGTCAAGATTATGGCGCTACTCCCCACGGGCTCCGTTAGCAGCAAAGGAGATGGCTAAAGCTAGGCTAAATGCTAACAACTCACTCGGGCGCATTACATACGTCACAGTAAACTCAGATCCAATCGTTTCAATCTGCAAAAGGAGTTAACCCCTCCCACCTGTTCACGGAGCTCAATGGAGCAAATTCAGACCTTAGTATGCAATGTAATTTGTACTATGGTGTGGTCAATACATGAATCGCTGTAGAGACCCACCTTATGTTGTCACCATCTGTTTAGTAGCAATGTCTGACTGCATTGTCTCTGTCAAATAAATACATAAATAAGCATTTTAATTGTTTGCAGCAACCAAAGGAATGTGTGTGCTCCCTTGAGTCCATTATGAGTTAGTATAGGATTCAAATTAGCAAAACATACTGTGCGGCAGGACCAGGCCCTGTTGATCCAAGATGGCGCCCTGTTCAAATCAATGGTTTGTGTTCGGCAGCGCATGGGACAAAACCTGACTCTCGCCAGATCCTGGGAGTTCGCTGAGCTTCTTACAAGGGTCTGGGATTTCTCAATAGGAGATGTATTTCAGAAGGCGGGGGGCCCATATTTGGGCATTGTCTGGTCCTCCTGGTTCTGCGCAGCGGACGAGCTCCCATGATGCTTTGCGCCATAATGGGTGGCTCTCATGCAAGTGCACAGAGAGGCAATGGCTTCTGATCAGAGTGGAGGTAGGGCGGAGTTAGAGCGGGAGCCAAACGACCAGAGTTTGTTTCACTAAAGTGTAGATTTATAGAAAACTGAAGAATTTAACAAAAAGAAATGTTCCGGATGACAAGGAACACTAAAATCCCCACACAATAAGACCTTTATGTAATCTGTTTTAGTTTATATTGAGTTCTATGGGACATTTTTCTGGGTAAACCGTGGGAATTTATTCTGCAGTACCGTGGGCACACCCTTTTCGTTGGTGGGCAAGCTCTAAGCTGTCATTCATAGTTTCGACTTGGATATAAGTAGCCAATAAATATTCAGTTTAAAACACAATAAATGTGTGTGCACTCACTCACCCTGAACTTGTGTTTTTAGTGGTAGGAAACCAGAGCACCCGGGGCAACCCTACCCAGACACAGGGAGAACAGGCAAACTCCACACAGAAGGGTCCCGTCTGGAGGTGGAATTGAACCCAAGACCTTCTTGCTGTGATGCATAAACACTGCGTCACTGTGCCACCATTTTGTGTGTAGAGGTGTGTGCGTGAGCCATAATTTTATGGCCATAAATTGTTGCATCTTCCCACCATTAATCGATTACTAAATTTGTTGAAGCCTTTTTCCAGTAATCGATTACTTTTATTAACACCGTTTGCAGCCCTACATAACCCCTAATGCCAAGTCCTTTCCTAGATGCCTGTGCACCTCTGGTTGAAAAACACTGCACTAAACAGCACTACCCTGAGCCTAAACAGGCGAAAGCTGAAGCGTATGGAAAGGTAATAAGTCAGATTAGTGAGGGATTATGCTGATAGCGCCAAAAGTGGTGTTATCAACAGCTAACACATCACGCATGCATCTCCGCCACACCGGCAGACGTGACTGATTCGGTGATCCCCTCGCTTTGTGTGACAATTTATCCCGGCCGGCAGCGGAGAGTGAAGTGCATCTATGCATGGGGGGTGGGGGGGGGGGGGGTGAGGGTAAGGGAGGGTAGGTGAGGGGAGGGGAGGGAGGGAGGGAGGGGAGGGGAGGGAGGGAGGGGAGAGTGGCTTTCTGCTGCAGAGAGAGACTGGAAGGCGATAAAGACTCGCTGAGTGGCAAGTGTACATGGATAGCTTCACATCAACTGCCAATATGTTGTGAGGCGGCGGTAACAGGCGCGGGGTCCCGGGGGAGGGCTGGTGCAGCGCTATAGGCCAGAGCAGCGGCAGCAGACGGAGAGGAAAACAATTTCTGGTGCCAATAACCCCGAGCGGCACAGATGAAAAATGTTTTAATATTTGCAGCTGCTTTATGGCAGCCGGGTGACAGTGATGGAGTCAATGTCAGCTTTTTCCTTTTAAATGTCATGCTCTGTCTCGGGCTGTCAGAGTGCACTATAATATGTGTGTGTGTGTGTGTGTGTATGTGTGTGTGAGTGCGGGGACAATTGATCTTTTCCTCTTGTAAAGGGTCCAAATGCAAAGCCCCGCCCTTATCTCCTACTCAGTTTTAACCCAAAACCTACCCGTGCCTATTGTGAAATTATAGTTTTCAAGAATATTATCTGCGGGAAGATGGGATTGCATAACAGCTTAGTTGGTTCTATTTTTTCACTATGACGAATGAAATTGTTATGTGGTACCCCCATTGGTTGCGCACATGATATACAGTATAGTCTTATAAAACAACACTTACCAACAGGGCGAGCTTTTATTCCTGCCTGCTGCGGTGTCTTCACATTGGCACTCTACTCCTGACCCTGGTCCATCTCAATTTCTCGGCTGCGTCGGTGGTGCAGGGGCCGAGGCGCCGCCACCGTTACTGCGACTCGAGCATCACCAGTGCAGCCCCAGGTTCCAGAGCTATGGGCTTTATCACACTCCATCCTGGGGTGGGTTAGGGCGTCCTGGCTTTAAGAGCACATGTCCAGCGCACTCTCTGGCGAGCTCACAATGGGTTCCCTGAGGCCTCTCATCTGGATCTAGGCGACCATTTCTGCGTCCCCATGTCCTAACGTCTTTATTTTACCGAGTGTGCAGGAGCCTTCCAAACCTGCTTCCCTGGAACACTCCTCTCCTTTGGTTAGATAAAGAGATCCTCCATTCATCCCACTGTAGGGAAGTTTCAGTGTAGTAGGAATGAGAAGCACGCAGCACAAGATTAATTAGCAATGACTTTACATATTTAACTTGTTGAATGGTCCATTATATTTTTTCTATGTTTATGTCTATTACTACAAATGATATAGTTCCACAAAACACGCTTCTGTCATGGTGTGGACTTTTACCTGTTTTTCTTCTGATATAATGGTTCTTTTCAGTGATGTCACATGTCTGTTCAGTTGCCTGCCTGCCCTGCCCTTTTGCGTTTCACCTGTGTGTCCCAGTGCTCCTTACCCTTATTGTCGGTGGTTTTTGTCCCTGTTTCTTCTAGTTTTCAGTTTTGAGTTCTGTAACCCTGGATTTTGTCATTTTTGTGTATTAAATGTTATAGTTTCGACCGTCCTTTATTTTTGGTCCTTCCTCTTTTTTTCAAAAACGTGACAGCTTTGCAGACACATACAGTACCTCAGTGAGCATGCGGCCGCTCAAAACGTCCCCAAATGTGAGCTCCCAACCCTCCACCGCCCTCCTCCACCCCCCACCACGTTAGCCCCTAAGCAGCCCTTTGCGCCTGTGTTCCCTCCTCCTCCTGTTCTATCCTCCAGTTGTCCATAAAGACAGTGCGCTCAGCTGTCAGATGAAAACTCCCCAAACCCGGCAGCCATCATTTAGATAATCACTTCCTCCTCTTTGCATTTTATTTGGATTTGATTATTTTTCATCTGTGCCGAGATGGAAGTCATAAATTATGCCGTGTCCCCTATGCCTTTGCGCAAATCAAACTCCCCAGCCAGAAATGTGGAATCAGCAAATGATGTTGAAGATGTCTAACTTTGGACACAACATGCAGGGAATATGTGATGAACAGATGTGGTGTTGATTAGAAACGCAGCCCAGGCCTATAAACAACGGAAGCCAAGGGGCAACTTTGGAACGCTTGCGGTTATAATGGATTTTTAGACGTACAGCGTTTTTTCAAAATCCTTTTTCGTGTATATCTGACTTTGCTGTTTTGGCTTTTTTATTTATTTATTATCCTTTTAATGAAGGATCAATGAATGTGTGTTTTATTTAGTTTTTTCCCCCCGACAGATGCATCCGTTTGTTTTTTTTTTCTGCTCTATAGAACTATCGGTAAACTTTTAGATTAGTATTTAACAGATAATTAATGTAGTCTAACCCTGATCCAGTTAGTAGTTAGTCTGATGTAGAATAAGGCCATTTAGAATAAGGACTAATAAGTGCTTAATACATACCAATTAAGAGCTAATTAATCATAAATTACTCACTAATTAGCACTTAAATAGCTGTTAACATGTGAGGGCTAAACTAAACAGTGACCAAACCATAAATTCAGCTGTTTAAACATATTTAAGGCTAACGTTTAAGTATAGCATGTGCATCCTCATTTAAGAGAACATTTTAAATCTTGACACACATTGACCCACAACAACTTAAAGCTCAGGTACCTAACTATCGAAACACGCAAAATGGAAACATTTAATAAAATCCATCTCATTATTTCCAAGCTCAAAGCTTTCTTTTTTTCTCTCGACTATGCCCCGTACATTTCCTGGCCTCTGGTACATCTTTAGATCAGCTTTTTCAGATGGAAAGGTGAAGAAAGGAGCACCCTCACTCTGCTGTCAGCCCAAAGAGGCAAAAGAGGCAAATAGTGACTCACATGGCTGTTTCTTACTTTTACAAGACTCTTTATGCTGGGATAAATACTATGTGTTATTTATGAATATAAAACGTTTGAGGTGAAATAAATAAGTCTGCTGAATACCACTTAAGAATAAATAATTATTTCATTGTTTGTCATCACACCAAAGTGCCGACACTCTGGTAGCATGCAGTAGATTTATTTATTTTCAATATCGAAGGGCCTTTGCAATACAGGTGAATCTGTATGTATGACTAAATATATACAGTGTTGTGGAATCTGGCCGCCACGAATGTGTATATTTTGCATTTATTATCTCTCTATTTCATTATTTTATTATCTATTATCCTAAATAATAGATCCTATTTGATAAATGAAACCCGAGAGCCCTTATTTTCTCCTTTTATTCTGCTGTAATGTACGACGCAACAATAACAATCAATCCCCCCTCAGGGACATATAAACGTTTATTTTATCTTAAACCTTGAGGTAAAGCTCTCAATTTCCAACGTCACAGTCAAACCGGTTGTGTGCCATTTCCCTTTTGTGAGGAGGGGTCTTAAAATAGGCAGAAAGGCAGTGGTGTGTCTGTGAGGGGCCCCGGAACATTCCTCCAAGTCATTTGATGTGGCTCTTCTGAAAGGCCAGTGTGCTGTGGCTATTGTTCCCCGACCTGCCTGGATCCTCTTGACCCAGACTTGCCCCCACTTAGGAGTTCAAAAGGTCCGACCAACTCCGATCAGCCGTCCCCCTCCTCCTTCATAATGCATTCAATGTGTACTGCTTGATATTTGCTTTTATGAGGAAAAGAGGGCCGTGGGTTTTTGTTTTGTGTTGTGTTGTAAATGTCAGCTTTCGGTATAATTTCATTGTATTCTCAGCAAAAAGTGATGAAAAGTGAGTCAAGCATGTATCAAAAGCACCATGGCCAAATGTCTCCGTTTGAGCACTGCCGTAAAACAAGATTTGCCAATGGGACAAAGCAAAATGATCTTGATTTAAAAATGATAAAGAAATGACGCCCTTGGAATGAGAAAAGAAAGCAACAGTTTGAAGAAAAACGTCTGGGATTGTGTCGGACAGACAGAAGACATGTTTCATCGTTGATGGTAGACGAGACACCAACAAAGTTTGACAGAATGCAATCGATATTATACATTATGGAGGAAGGGAGACCTCCAATCAGCATTTGCCACGATGCAACTAGCTTAGCCTTCAGAAAACAAAAACATTCAAGTGGAAAAACACTGCCCTGTGCATTGTTAGAATGATGAGTTTATCATTAACCACAGTTGCTTCAAAGTGTTTTAAAATATCCAAAAAGTTCTTGAATTAAGACTAAATGGTTTTGTCCCATTGAAAAAAAAAAAAACTTTTGAGCTGTATTCCAAAATAATTTCCCCCCAATAACAGTAAGTTGTATGCTCTCCCCAGGCTAATAACTGCCAGCACAAACATATATATTTGTCCCCTCTCTCTCACAAAATGCTTGGTGTTGAATATGCCCAATCGGGTGGTCTTCCTGTTATTAGCGGATTCAAATGAACCTTTACACTTTCATATTTCTTTTATGGTTTTAGCTCAAATGGACGTACAGTATATGTCTCAAAGCAGATAGATTTAAATGTGCACTTTATTTATCCCTGTACAGTAGGGAACCTTGCCCTCTGCTTTGACCCATCCTAGAAAGGCCACTAGGGGCATCTGGTACAGCGCCCGGGGACCCATCTCTCATCCATCTCCACATGCTAATGCTTGGCTTGGTCAGGACTATCAGAGCATGTTTTTTGAGTGGTAGGGGAAACCGAAGCACCTGGAGAAAACTTACGCAGACACAAGGAGAACATACAAACTCCACTCAGAAAGGCCCCGTTCCGACTGGGACCTTCTTGCTGAGGAGCGAGAGTGCTAACCACTCACCCACCTGGAACGACTTATAGAGATGAATCTCATGCTTCATCTCAGTGAATATCTGAACGTCCAGAGTTTATTACCTACTCTCCTAATATTCTTTTAATGGTGTATTACAGATTTTGTAGTCTTTACTTACTAGTCACTTATGTGTGCTCTATATTCCTTCTGTTCTGTAACTTATGATGCAAATGTGAAATTTCTCCACCTCGGGACAAATAAAGGATCTTTTTTTTTTGTCTTAGTCTCTTATAATGAAACTTATAATGAGGTTTGAAGTACGTCCTAGATCCCCTGGTCCTGGATTCCCTGGTCGTAGTTTGCCGCCAACATTTGCAAATGATCAGTATCTTCAAGAAATGTATGTTTTTGGACTTTGTGTGTGTTGCTCTGTAGCAGCACCAAGTCTGTGTGTGTGTGTGTGTGTGTGTGTGTTGCTCTGTAGCAGCACCAAGTCTCTGTGTGTGTGTGTTGCTCTGTAGCAGCACCAAGTATCTGTGTGTGTGTGTGTGTGTTGCTCTGTAGCAGGACCAAGTATCTGTGTGTGCGTGTGTGTGTGTGTTGCTCTGTAGCAGCACCAAGTCTCTGTGTGTGTTGCTCTGTACCCTTCCCTACATGCATTTCCATGTGCACAGCATTATGCGCACACACGAGGGATGTTGTCGTGCACACTTTTTCAATTATAGGTGTTTGATCTTTCTCCGTGTGCAACAGGCCCACAGAGAGGAGGAGCGGGACGCAGATGGGGGGGGGGGGAGAATGAGCAGTTATTTGTGCCCCCCGCCGGGCTCTCCAGCAGGCCCCTGATGTGTAATCCAACGCCAGACTTCTGCTGGACTCAGGACATCACACCTATAATAGAAGGCTCTCCCACAGGTCGCCCCCTGCTGGAGGTGAGACAGGACACACACACAGCAGGTCTGCATTAGCTGTCCTCATTTGGCTTTTTAGGCTGCTCACAAGCACCAGGCCAAATTGGAAAGGACTAACCCTGAGCAAAAACACATTTGGGCGAAAACAAAATGATTTTTCGTCAACAAGATTCAGCAAATATAAAGTTAAAGCTGGAGTAATTTTTTTTAATGAATTTATTGATGTGCACATTTTTCTTGTATTACAAAACATCTTATTTTGCATACTTAGGTACAAGTTGATACTTTGGGCAGAGAGCTGGTTGTCTGACTGAGAGTGGCTCTCTCGTTTTCACTTTTGTGTCTGAAAAAAGCTAATCTAAATATTAAAGGCCAAAAACATGGATGTGAAAAAACAAACAGTTGTGAAGCCCAAAACTAGTGACATGGAGTGATACATAGTTCAATATTTTCTGGTTTGAAAGTTATATACCCCAGCTTAAATATAATGTTATAATGTGATAATGCATTCAATTGTCTTTTTATGTCAGAATGTAACCTACCAAGATAAACTAATGCTCATCCGCACACAGGGAAATCATTAGGTACAATTTATTTAAAGTGAATGTCAATTACCTTTCCAATTTTGAAGAGAGACAAGCAGTGGTCGCCCATGTTCATCCCGTTGTAATACAGTCGCCCGGTTGGCACGGTTGAAAAAATAAACAAACCCTTTGGACCACGGGCCATCTCCACGCAACGATCCGCGCCACTTGATCTAGTCTGTTTGTGAAAACCGTATGTGACCATGCCCCATGTCTTTCAAGAACTGTTATTTTATTTTTGTAACTTTTTTTATACGTTTTTTCAGTGTGGTTGTCCAAAATGGATACAAATCTTTCAGCCCCCTTGTCATTGGTTCAAACATTATCCTCTGGCTAATCTTACTGGTTGTGGTTAGGCCAAGGGGAGGGACTATGACATATATTTTTGTTGTAAAATACTAACTGTAAGTACTAGTGCCTCATTGTCAGAAATATACATTATTTCACAAATGGAATACATTTTAAATTGCTGACATTAGGGCATTGTCACAAACAAAGTGATACATGCACTTTTTTACCGTTCAAAACTCAGCAATTACCAATATCACATCCACTATAACTAAACAACTGATGTTAATTTCAGCATAATTTGAAAAGGAGCTGTAGAACATTATAGATATCGCAGGGTGTCTTCGGCGTGCCTTCATTGCGTGGCCTAATTAAACTGCTTAATCACTTAACGACTTGAGCGAACACAGTTAAAGGGGAATTAACCGCAGAGAGATGGAGGAGTGGAGCCGAGGAAATGCTGAGGAGACCGGAGCGCAGTCTCTGGTGTGAAATAAAGGCCCGAGTGGAGTGAACGCTGGAGGCCATTAGAGCGCGAGGGGCGGGGGTCCAAACTGCTCCGCTGGCCCAAGACTGTGCTGCAAAACGAGCCAGGTACTTGTCTAAATGAGAAGAAAGTCAGTCTCCAAAAAGAGGGGGAAATTAAAAGCACTTTGCCGTGTTAGAAGAACCAAAAACAAAGGAGAGAGAGAAAGAGTGAAATGAATGGATTACAGTATGTTCAGCTCGAGTGTGTAAGGAAACAAAGATCCCAAAAATAAGCCAAAAATGCTCAAATTTTGCAAAATGTGTTTTACTTTCAGCACTTTTTGACGGCCTTACAACAAGATTTGCCAAAGGTACAAGCTAGAAATGTCTCCCTTGAAAATAAATCAACAGTTCTTGAAATAAGACTAAATTACTTTGTCCTTTTGGCAAATCCTGTTTAAAGAAAATCAGAATTCACTCTAATTACTTGAATTTACCATACCTTGATTCAATAAATTATAACCTCATATGTTATCATTTTTTGCAAGGTATTTAAACTGGAAACTTGCCAAATCAAAGTTGTGATTCAAGTCAAGACTGAACCAAATCTTGCATCTTTAGAAGGGTTAGGGATTTGTAATTATTTACTTAACGTTATAAGTTAAGTAGATCATCTTTATATAGCGTATTTCACAAACCTATTGTACATGTTTTTAGTGGTAGGGGAAACTGAAGCAGACATGGGGAGAACATGCACACTGCTATCCACACAGCCACCGTGCCACCCACACATAATGGTTTAGGTTTATTTCCCGTTTTATTTTGTCATTTGCTACCGCTGTATTTTTGGTCTACTTCCTGTTTCCAAGGACCCGCCCTCATGTGTCTCACCTGTGTCTCGTTAATGTTGTGTATTTAAACCCTGTGCGTTCCTTCACTCCCTGTTCTGTCATTGTTCATTCCTAATCTGTTTTAGTTCCTGTCTTCAGTCCCTCTTCAGTTACTTTTTGTGGTTTCACTGGATTCTCATTGATATTAAATATGTAAATGTTATTAAATCCATTATTAGTGCATTTTTGCGTTTTGGGTTCTTTTCCTTTCGCCACCATGACACTTTACTTAACATTGTTTGCATGCCTTCCTTGGGACATGGCAACTCCCTGGCAACCCCATTACTGGGTTGGTAAGGATAAAGCAGTTGTTAAATATTTGAAAGAGCATGGATGTGTTTTGTGGCCAGGATGTCAAGGAACAAGTGTTTGGACTGAAAGTTTGCCAATCTTGTACCTCCCATAGTATTTTTGCATTTCCAGGTAGACTTCTTCAACTAACCCTCAGTTTGCGAGGTGAACATTTGACTGGCAGAAAAACCATCTAAGTACCATTGCTCCTGACCAAACCTTGTGATATTGTTGTCATCAAATTGTTATTGTGTGGCCTAGAATATTGACCACATGACAAAAATTGAACATCTGTTGAAGCCACCATTAACAAAATACTTAATCCTAACCAATTGCAACATTTCTATTCGTTGGACATTCACTTTGACCTTTTAGTTCATGGATCAATTTCCTTGCTGTTGAATCAAGATCAAAATATTGCCAAAATCATCTGCATGATTGGCTGTGCCCGAAAACCAAAATGTCTTATTTTGATCCTGTTTATGTATTTGTCTTCATAACAATTAGCCATATGAAAATTACTGAGCACAATTTCCGGCAAAAAGCTTCTTTGTGTCGCGACCATTTCTAGTCATTACCACCGGAGCCAGTGTATGCTAATAGAAAACCCAATTAGCTGCTACGGCACGAGAATGCTAATGGGGATCACAAAATTCTTGAGAGCTTAACGGGCTGCGTTTATGTGGTGGTTGGCTGCACAATTCATTTGGCAAACATCAGCGAGTAATTTGAGGAAAGGTAAGAAAGACTTCGGGCTGATTAGAGAATGTACCTGTTTATAGCCTCTTAATTCCCTCGATTGCACAAACTTCTCGGTTTCATGAATTGGTTTGTTTGAGAGCGCTTCGAAAGATTAGAAGTAGCACATGGAAATACCAAAATAGAAATGTCTTTGAAAATGTAGTTTGATAGATTCTTGGTTTTTGATTTGGGGTTTTTGGTCGGCTGAGCTTGTTCCACCGACTTCTGGCTTGAATGTTTTTGTCTTTTTCCGCCTGACCAATCCTTCTGATCCCTGATTTCTTAGGGTTTTACTATATACTAATCAAGAAATAGTTAGTGGCAAAGGAAATGGCTGCGCTAAATGCTAAATATTAGCAACATTTGCAAAGACACATGTAACTCAGATCCAATCGTTTCAATCTGTGAAAGGATTTATCCATTCCCACCTGTTGATGGAGTCAATGGAGGAAATCCAGACTTTAGTACAAAATAAAATGTGTACGATGGTGTGGTAAGACCAGGCTACGACCAGGCTACGACCAATGTGCTTTACAATAAAATCACATGAAATCTAATAAAACATCAATCCATCCATTTTCTGCCCCTTAACTCATTGACTGCCATTGACGTGTTTGTCTGAGACTGGTGATTTCTGTCAAACTTCCCTCTATTCGACCGGGGATTACAGAAGAATAAAACTAGCGAGAAACACACTTATTTTTTGCTGATGAAAGTAGACAATCCAGTCTTTCAGAATCTGGTTTTGTATTTCACATAGACATAGCATACAATATTTTCTTGAAAATCAGTAAAATCTTCAAAAATGGCATCTTCAATGAGTTAATCCATTCTGGGTCGCAGGGGTGGCCGGAGATGCCACCCAGTACACACGGCACCAGCCCCTCACTGAGGACACAGGAACAGCAAACATCAGTGGGAGTCGGTGGAGAAAGTCTTGTGGTGGAATCGAAAGGGCACTGCTGTACCAACTGAGCCAAAGTCGCCCATAAAAAATGTATACAAAAAACAAAAGTTCCACTGCGCTAATGAGTGTTTAAAGTGTTAAAAGCCAGTCTGAATAATAAGTTTTGAGCCCTGATTTAAAAAGGCCCAGATCATATCAGGGGGCAGCTTGTTCCAGGGTCTGGGTCTAGTGAGTGAGAAGGACTGTTTAATACCGTTTTTTATTATATTTTAGCAACTTCTTTATTATTTATCTGTAACTGCGTGAACGAGAGCAGCCGGCACCAATGTGATTACCTTCAGGATCATACATTTTATCCTATCCTAAAGCACGGGTTCATAACTTTCAAACCACAATGGTGAAAGACCACTGCTTTTTCTCTCTCTCCAAGTTTTCAAAACCTAAGACAGCATGGTGTGGTCTTATTTGTTCACAAAATGTACCCGAGCCTTAACACTATCACAGAGATCACATTCCTAAGATGATGCTTGGAAATAGTTGGATAAAGTCTCATAACAACTGGAACAACTCTTAAAAGTACCAGCGCCCCTATAATTCATAAAAAAAAAACTGGAGTTGGTGTCAATCCGCACAGTTGACCATCAATATAATGAGTGTGCACTGACAGCATTTCACCCTGCCAGTTGTGGTAAAGAGGACGAGTTGTAAAACAAGCTATCAATTTCACAAGTGGCAAAAATAACATGACATCCACCACAAAGTCCAACGCAGCTGCCACACGGAGAGCCAGATCTTTGGGATACATCATTAGTTCATGGCATTTGTCACTCTGCACGCCGTCTGCCAGTGGTAGACAGTGAGCGAGAAGTCTGCCACCGAAATATGTCA